ATTTTACTAATTGTAAATTTTGATTTAAATCACTTTATTTCACAAAATAATCTGTTATCAACCTATTTTTAGTGGTTTTAAGGTTTCAAATGAGCACTTTTTTACATGAACATGTATTTTGTTCGAACTACATGTAATAGTCATAAAAATTTTCGTGTTCCGTTACATGTGTGAGTCACTTGTTCATACACTTGATAAATATATCATGTGATTATATGATCTACATGTACGAATTATTAACGTTATGTAAAATTTTATTATGTCACCCCTTAGAAAAGTAAAATAATAATAAGCGTAAAATTAAATGTATTTTGAGCATTTTCACCTGCATTCAACCCTGGATTGAGAATACTTATGTCTTAATTTTTGAGGATATGATACATTATTCAGAGACATTTCAGAAGTAAAAATCTCTACCAATACTTTTGTAAGGGACTGTAATTTGCATAGTCACACCAAGCAAAAACCAATTTGAGAAATCAACTTTTCAAGGAAGAAATAAAACTCGAGTCGGGTCGGGTTTGAGGTCAACCCAAATCAATAATTTCGGGTCGGGTTTGACCCAAAAATCGTAAAATAGTTTTTCGTTAATAACTTTTATTTTTACTATGACACTTGTATTTTTGTTTTAAGTAGAGTTATTCGGAATGTAATTGTGCATATATCCACAAATTTTCGTTTGATTTCGATTAATATTGAACGAGAAATAACGTTTTTAGGCCGACCCGAAATGTGCGTTCCGGGCCGGGTCACGGATCGAACCCGACCCGGTTGGAACACAAGAACGAAAAGGCTTCTCAAAAAATTATTTGAATATCATTTATTGATTTACCAGTATCTAAAGTTCTTTTGCCTATAATAGTACTCCAAACGATCGGCTCCAATCCGTGACCCGACTCGAACCGCACACTTCGGGTCGGGTTAGGGTCAAACCCGATCGCAATATTTCGGGTCAGCCTAAAATCGTAATTTCTCGTTCAAATAAACGAAAATTTGTGGATACATACACAATTACATTCTGAACAATCTACTTAAGACACAAAATACAAGTATCTTAGTAGAAATAAAAGTTATTAACAAAAAACTATTTTGCGATTTTTGGATCAAACCCGACCCGAACAGAGCTTTAGTGCATAACCTCTAAAGTTATCAAATATTTGTATTTTATAAATGTATAAACTTCTTTACTAAGAAGTAAATCCAAAATTTAATGTTCAAGAGTCTATTCTTCATATTTATGAATTAAAATCTGTATTTATTTCTTAATAAAGAAGTTAACCATTTTTTTGTTTAATTTTTCTGTTTTTCTTTTATATAATAGATAAGCTAACTATTTTATTAAAAATTTATTAATTAAATATAGTAAAATATAGATTTTTCTTTTTATATAAAAGTTTTCAATTTTACTAATAAATATTTTTTATTTTTATATTAAAATAAAGAAAATATCACATATTTTAACATATATTTTTTTTAAATTTTTTAGATTTAATCTGCTAAAGCTATTCTAATTGCATATAAAGTCAAAAATAAAGAAAATATCACATATTTTAACATATATTTTTTTAAAATTTTTTAGATTTAATCTGCTAAAGCTATTCTAATTGCATATAAAGTCAATTATTTTTTTATAATTAAAATATATAAAAAAATAATTAGCTTTATATATAATTAGAATAACTTTATCAGATTAAATCTAAAAAATTTGAAAAAAATATATGTTAAAATATATGATATTATCTTTATTTTAATATAAAAATAAAAATATTTATTAGTAAAATATAAACTTTTATATAAAGAGAAAAATCTATATTTTACTATATTAATTAATAAATTTTAATATTATTGTATTATTTCTGATTGCTACTATAATTAATTAAATTTATTAAAGCTTTTTAAACTCAAAAATTCTCAAATCTAAAACTTAATTTAATATTATTAAATCTAAAAATTTTAAAAGAGATTTAATTTTATTATATTTGAATATAATTAATATTTTTAAAGCTAATAATAATAAAAATAATATTAAATCTCAAATAATTAAGTCTAAGAATTTTATATTTGAATATAATTAATATTTTTAAAGCTAATAGTAATAAAATAAAAACAAAAATATAGTCATTTTTCTTTATAAGATCATGATCGAGTTATAAAAATTGATTCTTATAGAAAGTTTGTTTTTATAAAGAGATCATTTTTATTATCAATATTAATTATTCAGTTCTCAAATTGTGTTTTTATAGAGAGATATTCTTATATAACATGTTCCAATATAGAGAGATGACTGTAATACTAAATCTCAAATAATTAATTAATTATATATTATAAATAATTATAATTTAATAAATATAATAAAATTTCTCTAAGTATATTTATTTTAGAATTATAGTAAAATATAAAATATATTTAGAAAGGATATGTATTTATACAAAGTAATATATATATATATATATTTAAAGTATATGAATTTAAAATATATATCCAAAGTAATATAATATATAAATTATTATTTAAATATCAATAATATATAATTTTAATATTTTTAATAAGTATAAATATATATTAAAAGTTATAAATTATAAAATTTTAACTTAGTTAAAATTATCAGTTTTAATAATTATTTTTATAAATAAACCTAATAAATTCAAAATTAATATATATTTGAAAGTTCAAATTTATTCAAATTGAAAATTTTTGATTTAAAAAGTTTTGAATAAAGTTTGAATTTCTAATAGTAATATAAATTATTATATATCAATATTTTCTATTATCAACTAAAATGAAAAATAATTATACTATTTTATAGTCAAAAATAAATGGTACAACTTTATTATAGTTATAAATATAAGTTATAACTTAATTTTATATTATATTTTTGACTTTTTTCTGATATAATTAAAATATCCAAATTTAATTTTTTATAATATATTAGTTGTGTCAAAGTAAAATTTTAATAAAAAATATAAAATATATTTCTAAGTAAAATTGTAGAAGCATTTATTCTGGCTATAAATAATGTTTGAGCGAAACTGTTTTTTCAAAATCTGAAAATTTTCGTCCGAAACATTAGATATAAGATAATTTATATATAAAATCGATTTTCTTATATAGTATTTCCAATTAATATAAATTATTTTTCATTTACAATGGGTGATCAAAAAGGTCCGACCATTTACAAACCATTAAATTTGACAACTTAAAAACAGGATTAGAAGCTAATCTATAAACTTTATTTTTATTTATTATTTTTATTTGTTTACAAGTTTTATTAATGTTAATATTTATATGATATCCATTTGCAGCAATAACCGCGCGGCAATTCGATCGGGCATACTTTAAATAATCTTTCGTATGCAAGATTCTTCCAAGCATGTATTGTTCGAGTTCTGTGAGACTAGACGGTGCAGGGGATCATTGACGAACATCGTCTTTCACTTCATGCCATAAATTTTTTATGGGGTTCAAATCGGAACATTGTGGAGGCCAAACTAACGTCTTGGTTCTAGAAGCTTCGCGAACGGCTGTTGCAAGCTTTGACCTATGTGGTGTATTGTTCTAAAAATACCATAACCACATGGGACAAATTTGTGTAGGGTAGGATCCTTTTCTATTTTTAGTATCTAAAACTCAAAAATAGTTATCATAAAATGCAAAAATAATTTTGGCCGGATCTTTTTGCAATTCAAGTTTTAGATTATAATTTAATATATTATTATCTATATTTCTTTCAAATCAATTCAAAAATAATCTGATCCGAAAACTCCAGATCAAAATCAAATCAGTTGGTTATTTTTTGTTTTTAGATTAGATTCCAATCCGATCTAAAAATTTCCAAGTCAAATCTGATTAGAGTCTAATCCAACCTGTTCAAAAAATTAGGAATTTTACTGAAAAATACAGTGGTTCACATAAGAAACGCAACACTGCATCCATTAAGATGGGTAATATTTCTAGACCTAAAAAATCAAATTATCGTTTAAACAACGTTCACAAAGGTAACTAACCTTCCCATAAAAAAGAAGACAAAGTTCATTTAGCGATAACTCGAATATAGTTAGAGGAGAAAGCGAACGTTGAAGCACTCCAAACTTGTCGATTACTTGATGGGGGTGTTTTTCAAGTGGCTAATTAATGATAGCTTATGCCTTGCGATGATCTAGAGAAAAAGCATCTTCCAATCCAACATTATTTAATTTCTCGTCTCCGATAGATGGAAAGTTAAAGAACAGGTACTTGGATCTCGACATGACTAACAAATATCGTGCGTGTTGATATGACTGTAATGTTCCAATCAATATACGAACCTTAAATGTTGGATTTCTTCGATACATTTTCCATTTCCAATGTAAATTAATTACATGATTTAATTTGACACCAAAATTCGGTTTTTGATCTTGTGTATTATTTTTAACAGTGAAACTTCTGATTCGTAAAAGAATAGATACAGTGAATGGATGACTTATCATAAAGAATTAAGTGATGATGTTATCGGTTTATTTATCTTGTTGAAATTGCCAATATTTGGCATGATTTTATTTTTTTATAAACTTCAAGTTACTTGTAAATTATTTTCATAGAATATTAACGTTGATAATTACATCTAAACCATTTGGAACCGCATGATTTGAACCACATGTTTTCTTGACATTACTAATATGATTAATTTTAATTAAAGTTGTTTATTATAATATTTAGATTAAGTTGGTTAATACAAAATTATACATGTAAAAACTTTTAAAAAAATTATCAATCCAAACCATACCAATACATATAAACCACATAACATCACTGCTACGTAGTAAGTGCAAAACCCTACTAAATGCATCCTTGTGCCAGGGCTGCTTTTTTCAATTAACCGAAAAAAAGAATACAACAATAACGATAATTTTTTAACGTTAAGATCTAGTCGTATAAGTACTGAAGTCACATGGTTTTTGTCAAACATCGTTTTGCTTTTATATATCGATATATCGAAAATTTCTCCCACTGTGTGTTCAAAAATGGATAATACCTACGCTCATCTTGCCAATTATCTTGTTGAAAAAATTTCACCGTACGCAATATCGATATATAAAAAATAAATCTGTTGCTCATATTGAATTGCTATTTTATTCTGTATATTTTCGCAAAAGTCTTGATTCAAAGGAACGTTTTCTGCTGGCTATCGCTGGAATTCCTGGATCGGGAAAATCTACGCTAACGCACAAAGTTACTTCCTTAATAAATAAAAAAGTGGGAAATGTAGCAGTGATGATTTCGATGGATGGATTTCATCATCCAAAAAGTGTTTTAGATACATTTGAGGTGAGAACTATTGATAGGATGTTTGTTGTACGTTCATATTTATATTTTTTATTACGGATTTATGAAATAAATGTTTGCGCGGATAAAGGATCCAGAACAAGCACATGCTAGACGTGGTTCTTATTGGACATTTGATGTCGAAGGTTTGATTCTATTTTTCGTGGGTATTTGTTAAAGAAAAAGAGAATAACAATTATTTTTATTCAAGCACTTTTGGAATTAGTGAAGACATCGAGACAACCTATTGATCCCGAAAACTCGAGTGTGATTAAAGCCCCTTCGTTTGACCATGCTGTCGGGGATCCAATAAAGGATGACATTTCTATTTTATCAAGGTAAAAAAAATAAGGAATTTCTTGTGCAATAATAATTTCACAGCTTTTTTTCAATTAATCATAGCCATAAGCTCGTGATCTTTGAAGGCCTGTATCTCCTCTTGACTGAACCTTATCCATGGGATCAAATTCAAAAATATATGAACGAATTATGGTTTATCGACGTGGAAATTCCAATTGCCAAAGATCGTATCATCATAAGACATTTAGCAAGTGGAATAGGTAAGAAAAGCTTTTCCTTCGTCATCAGTTTTAAATTTGACAGTAATTAAATTTTTCATTTTTAGCTAAAAGCAAAGAAGGAGCTGCACAACGATTCGAAAATAATGATAGACCAAACGCTGAATATATATTAGCTCATTGTGCTCAACCCACAAAAATTGTTTATAGTGTCGAAGACCAAGAAGAAGTGCAAGAGATGATCAGTGAGATACCGTGAATTTGAGGTGTGTTTCTAAGATTAATTTTAATTTTCTATAATCAATGAAGTCTAACTAATGAGCCACAAACTATTGCAATTTTTATAATATTTACGATACGACATTTTAGAGATATTTTGTAAAACTTAGAGATAAACCTCATAATTTTCGGCAAATACAATTAATTATGTTTTTTAAGAGCATTTCACAAAAACTCTGTGTAATGTAATATTTTGCGCGCATACATGTAATCTCGATGAAGCTTTCTTAATAATCAAAGCCCGCACGATTTTCACCGGGATCGCGTTTAACCGGGCGGGTTTGCCAGCGTCTGCATAAGAACATAAACAATTATTAACCTTATGATCCTTTGTATCTTGTCTTAGAACTTGTTTGACTTTTATTACACACGAGGAATGTAATACACTAAAGCAGCAAAGTTTCAATGCATATAGCTGCTCTGCGCTAGCTAGACGATTAAAATAGAAAAAGCAGTGATTCTAATTGTTAAAAAAATGCTCGTGTTTATTGATAATAAAATTGCTTACTTCTTGACATGTTGAACTTATCAAAGAATACACTTGGATGATAAAGAAACGAAAATTTTTATCGTAAAAAAAAGCATTTTGGCAAATAATACATGTAAGAGTTTTAATCACGGGATGATTTTAATTCAACGATAAGGTCATATCGATATATCATCACCATGAAACAATCGATTATAAATCAAAAAAGTTCTTTACCACATCACTTTTGAGAATCCTTTCCGACTATTGAAAAAATCGATGTACTATATTTTTCAATTTGATTTGGACTAAAAAATGGAAGAACAACCAGAAACAACAACAATCACTAAAGTTACTCAAAACGAAGAATCAATCACGATAACCACACAAAAATCCAATAATCAAGAATTAACCACTACCCAAAATCCTAATAATAATGATTTAAAATCTACACAAGAATCCAAAACCGTTGAACAAGCTTCGTCGCCGTCAATTATTGTTGAAGAAACTCATGATAATGGCTCTTCATCACCAAATATAGAAGTGAACAGTAAAGACTTATCGTCGTCAACTATCATTGAAGAGACAAACGACAAATATGATAACAACAATGGAAATAGATCATATGTTGTTAAAGATAAAAATGTGAATGAAATTTTTGACATTAACTTGTTGAATATTGATGATGAAGGTACAATATTTTATTTGTATTTGTTAAAGATACAAATATTGATGATGAAGACAAAAAAATTTTATTTCGTATTCTTGTTATCAAAAATATAAATGAAGATACTCTTTTGGCTGGATATGACGAAGATGAAGGTGAATCCAGTTGCAAGGAGAATTATACCGATTTGTTGGGTTCCTTAAACGAATTTATTAATTACAATCAAGGAAATAGCAACGGTAAATTGGATCATAAATATTTATATTAAATCTTTTCTTTAACCAGTATTAACTTTCATAGAAATTGACAACATTGAAGACGTCAAAAATCAGGATTGTGCTATGAAATCTCAAACTGACCAGCTCATCGATTTAGGAGATAACAATAATGATAATGAAATCGAGAACAAATTAATGGAGAAGACAGAATTTGACAACGATCAACACGATAATTCGAACCATAGGCCAATTATTGTTGCTGATCAAACAAACCCACTCGAAGAGACTCTCAAAACGGACGCTTATGAAAATAAAAGTAAGACATTCATTGTTCATCTTCATGTCGTCTAAATCGAATCTTTTCTCTGCTGATTATAGTGCATTTGCTTACGTAAAGAGGATAATTATGACTTTGACTCTGATTCTTGCAATATTGAAAGTTCTCTCGGCATGGAAATAACTAGGGCTTTGGATGAAGAAATTCCCGGAAAACAAATATTCTGTGGCGATAGCGAAAACTCAGATGATGGTGATGGTGATGATGGTAATATTATAATAGTAAAAATTCTTTTTTGTTAAATAATCTGATAAAAATTCCGTACATTGACGGAAGACCAAGCAGATCCTATGTTGTTTCTTTTAAATGCGGAAATCGAGAATATTAGAAGAAACTCTCGAGATATCAACGATATTCATGCTTTGCTCGAAATAGAAAAGAACACTAGTCGAATGATTCATGATCAAATTTATACGAAAATTGGAGAGATCGATAAGGTCAATGATTTAAATGAATTAACGAGGAACGTTTATAATCAACATCAAAGCGTGTCAAATCAGTTTACTGAATTTAGATCATTGTTGCAGAGTCTCACCGCTCGTCTTAAAGAGACAGAAGCAACTGGTCTACTGAATAAACGAGCTATTGATAAACAACGGGCAGAGTACGAAACAACTTGCAAGAACTTGGATGAAAAAATTGAGTCGCACTTTGCACAAATACAAAAGCTGGCCGAAGAGGATAAAATGCATTACGAACAGAGATTTAAAGAGGTTTTTCTGCATATCGATCCGTTACAACAGAATATTCAGAAGGTTGAAGAAAATTATTTTCAGTTTAAAGCAAATTATCTCCAGCTTAAAGAAACTCAACTTCAACTTCAACAAGAAAACGGATCAAAAGAAATGCAATCCTTTTACATAAAGAATCAAAAAACGCTTGAACAGCGGATCCACAAGCAGAGAGTTGTTGCTGATGAACTACAATTACGCTGTGATAATCTCGAAAGCTTTCTGAAACATATTGATTCCAGGGAGAGGGAATCATGTATTGGGTGTAAGGAAATGGAGAAAAGGTATTATAAATATGATACTTTTCTCAAAGAAGTTCATGCCGAAATGCGATTAAGAGCTGCCGAGGAAGAAACAAAATTCAACGCCATTTTCCGAAAAGATAATGAGAGAAGAGATAAAAAGTTTGAAGACTTACGCAGAGAACTTACTCAAGACGCGACTAAACGGTATGACGACTTAATGAAGAAGTTCAAAAATGATCTCAAACAACTTAAAGATGACATAGAAAGATCGAAGAATCAACAAGAACGAAAACACGCCGACTTGTTTGGCGGTACCTCTTGGGTTTGCATGATTTTTGCGGGGTTGATTGCAGGTTTCATTATTATTTGGGCATTTGCATCTGATTAATCTCGATACTAGCATTTATTTTACACTTAGTTTATCCAATTACATGTATTTTGGCCACTCCAAATACATGCAGTTATGTACATGTATCAATTATTATATATTGGGTGTCCAAAAATATTGTGGACGCATTTTAAATTATACAACCCCTACGATAAATTACCTGAAATCCAAAAAAAGCACAGTAAAACATAGTAAAAATAGAAATTTTCTCTATAATGAAATTTTTTAGTTTTATTAGTAAATATTTTTGTTTTATATCAAAATAATGAATCTTGTAGATTTTGAAATATTTCTAATTATAAAGTTTGTGTAACTAATCCTGTAAAAACCAGTATTCTTTTTTAGAAACTTACCAGGATCCAGAAAATTTAACCGGATAAAAATCATCTTAATACCAATTTTCAGCCAGCTTTTATCAGGCTTATTTCAGGTCTTTTCCAGATTAAATATTATTATTTTGAAAATATTTAATCTGATTTAAGCCTGATAAAAGCCAATTGAAGATTAATACAAGTAATTTTTAATATAAGAAACTCTTAATATAAGAAAGACTAATTGAAATTTGATAAAAAAGTTAAACTCAAAATTGCTCTATTCTTTAAACTATCCAGCAGGCAAATTTGCCATTAAAATTTTTTTTAGTATATTTTTGTAATTTTTATAAGCTTAATCTCTTACTCTTTCTAAAAAAAATAAATATATAATATATTTTTAATCAATATAATCTAAAATTTGTATTTTTTATTTATAAATTGCTCAAAATATTTGATTTATTTTGTAATCAATTCTGTAATTATTATATAATATTTTTAAAATTTAAACTTGTAATAAAAATTTTTTAAAATTACTTATTTTTGATTTAATAGACAATTATATTTTTTATAATTATTAAAAAAGTAAAAATAATTATTATATAATATATAATTAAAGCTAATAATAAAAAATATTTTATTTTTTGATAAAGATATATAAATTTATATCATTTCAGCAGACAAATTGCTCATTAAATTTGATAATTTACGAAATAATAAATTTATTTAATATAAAAAAATTATTAATAAATTCTAAATATAATAAAGCTTTATAAATTTTTTATTATAAATTCAAATATCTTTCTTATATCAAAAATTAAGTTAATTTTTATAAAATTGAATATAAAAATAATTCAAAATCTGATTTTATATAGGAAAAAATTTTGAATATTCAAAATACTAAATTTATTTTTTTATTAGAAATTTATTAAATTAATATAAGAAATTTGTTAGATTAATATAAGAAATAGTTCAAAATATTAATTTTATTTTAATTTTATTAGTTTTATTAGACTAAATATAGAGAATATTTCAGATTAAATATAAAAATCAATTTAGAATATCTAATTTTTTAAATTAATATAAAAATAAATAAAATATTTTAAATTAAATATAAATATAATTTAGAATATTTGATTTTTATTAATTTATATTAGAATAAAATGTAAGCAATAATTAGTTATATCTTAGATTGAATATAAAAAATAATCTAAAATATTTAAAATTTATTGCTAAAAATTTAATACATAAATATTTTTGTAACTTATTTTTTAAAACTTTTTCTGATTATATTTAATAATTTTTAATTTATATTAATACAAATATAAAACAAATATTTTTTATATTATAAGCAAAAAAACATTTTCTTTTTAATAAATTTTTGTTTTTCAAATTCAAATTCAAATTCAAATTTAATATTTATATTTATTAATTTATAATCAAATTAGAAATTTATTAAATTAATTAGTAAATTTCAAAATTTAAATAAATAATATCAAAAATTATTTAAATATTTTAAAAATTATTTGAATATTTTAGAAAATAATATATTATTTATTTTTTTAAACTATTATTTCAAAAAATATTATTTATTTATTCAAAAAATTATTATTTAATAATTTTATTAATATATTTTATTATTATAATTTTTAAATATAATATATTTATTATTTTAAATTTATTTATATTAAATTAATGAAAAATTTTAACAAATATTCAGATTTTCTTGTTATATTTTTTGAAATTAAATTTTTTATAATTCTAATTAATTATTAATATATTTTTTTAATTCATATAATAGTAATTAAATATTATACAATAACATTAAAATTTATTAATTAAAAATAGTAAAATACAAATTTTTTATAAAGTTTTTAATTTTATTAATAAACAAATATTTTTTATTTTTATATTAAAATAAAAATACTCTAACATATTTTAACAAATATTTTTTTTAGATTTAATCTAATTAAGTTATTTCAATTACATATAAAATCAATTATTTTTTATATATTTTAATTATATAATTAGAATAACTTGATCAAATTAAATTTATATTTTAATATAAATAAAAAATATTTGTTTATTAATAAAATTGAAACTTTCATATAAAGAAAAAAATCTGTATTTTATATTTTATTATGTTTAATTAATAAATTTTAATTTATTAATTAGTATATTTATTATATCTCTAATTTATTTCTAAAATTGATAATTTTTATATTAATTAGTATATTTTATTTTTTAATTTATTTTTAATAAAAATTTTTATTTGTAAATTAACTAATTGTTTCTTTATTAATAAATATAAAATATTTTATAATATTTATATTTTATTCTTTTTTTAATAAAATTAATATATTATTTAGTTTTTTATTTATTAATCAATATATTTTATAAAGTTTCTGATTTATTTTTAAATAAATTTAATAAATTTTATTTTAAATTTAAATATAATCTAATATATTTTCTCTATATTAATTATTATTTTTATATAAAGTAACTGATATAATTATTAAATATAGTAAAAATTAAAATTTTTGTCTTAAATAAAGTTTTTAATTTTATTAATAAATATTTTTTATTTTATTTTGATATTGTTATAATATGAACTTTTATTATATTAATTATCTTATATTTTATTAAACAATTTATTATAATATTATTGGATAATATCTTATTAATACTAGCTAGAAGAGTTCTTATTCATTAATATTAAATGATAAAACAAGTAATATAATTATAGCAAAGTTAGCAAAATGATCCAAACTAAATTAGCAATTGAATTCTAGCTAAATTAGCAATCTGAGCATAGCAAAAATAGCAATATAATACTAGCAAAATAAGCAATTAGATTTTAGTAAAAATAGTAATAGTATCATAATAAAAGTAACTTTTGTAGAATCATTAAATATTATAAAAGCAATATAACTTAACTAGTAATTGAAAAATAAGTCTAATAATTTTATTATTTTAATAAATCTTTTGTTAGATAACTTATTAAAGTTATATTTGATATTGATTTTGAACTTAAAAGATAAAAAATTGTTAATTATTATATTTAATCTCAATTTTAAAAGAAGAGAAAAATATTATGATCTTAAATTATTCTTAATTTTTTAATTCTGATCATGTAATAAAATATAAAATATAGAAATAACAGAGATAATAGAGATAATAGAGTTATTAAAGTTATCAAACTTGTTAAAAATATTAATTATATTATATTTATCTTATATATATTATAATATTTTTATTATAAAGTATTTTATATAATAAAAAATCTTGTAACAATTTTCACATACCCTTGTAATTTCTTGTATCAAATTTATCCTTTTTCGTGTTATATTTATCATTTTCTTGCATAACATATAGAATTTAATACAGATCTACATTTAATACTTCTTAATATTTCGTTAATTAGATTAGATATGAAATGTAGATAAGGTTGCTTGCCGAAATCCCTTAGTGATTGTCTAAATTCTGTCGAAATTATAATAAACTATTAGTAAATAACCT